TACTCTGGCATCATTCGACAGAGTCTGTACATCCGGCAATAAAATCCTGAGTTAACATCACGTTAATTCACGTCGTGGGTCCGACCGGTCTCGCTGAATTCCAAACTTTTGAAAAGATGCCCGAGCTGTTTTATGCGAACAACCGACACTTCTTAGTATCGTCTGAACTTAATTTCATCAAGCCTGATTAAAAAAAAGAGAAAAAAAATCATGGCGAATTCTATTTCTAATTCTAACGCACAGATGTGTAACATTTCCAAACACTCGAGGAAAGAAATATTAATCTAGCAAGAACGCAGTTGAGACACCCATCGCCTCCCGGGACAAACGCAATTTCTCAATTATTTGGAGTGTCGGACAATCAAGAGAACGCAATTTTATTTCAAATGAGATCAGTTGTTTACCGAGAGAGTAAATTCAATTTTTAATTAGAACAGTGAAAAAAACAAAAATAATTGTTTATTCCAACCCTGACAAAGATCAGCTTTGAAAATGACTGTTAAATGTGTAGAAAACATTACACTTAATTATTAAACCTTATGAAACTATGCAACCTTGGGTTCTTACTAGGAAGGTTTGCGCATTTAGAAAAATTAAAAACAGAGAAAAGTTCCTCGCGGCTTTTCATATAACATGTCCGTCTGACGGAGAAAACTGTTGGTAATTGCATTTTCTCAGTTGTGGACATGTGGACAATTCCTTGATTGTTATATGAAAGTTACAACCGATCTACAACAAATGTCCTATTCCCTCTTGTTATAAGAAAAACATACAACTATGACGCTTATTGGCAATGCCAAAACGATCGGCGGTTAGAAAGGTGGCGTCTAGAGATGAAAGTAACGTGGAATTTCTGCTCGTGATGCGGGCAAGGGGCCAGCTTTGGGTAGCAGACGCCTTCCGCGGATTCCTGGCCCGTTAACAAACTGAATCGATTGATACGATTAAAAATCCATTTTGCCCACCGATCCGTGACATCAGTGTCTGCAGAAGAAATTTATAAAATGTAGAAGACATTTTAACAATAAATTGTGGTGTTTAGTGACGTTAGTTAATGATTATTCGGAGACTTGAGATGCAGTCTGGTGTGACGTAGGTTTTAGAAAACATTTTCTTTATCGTGCCCTCGTTTCGATCTTTGTTAAAATCATCTTCAGGGCCTGGGATTTATAAACATTGTTTATATTTTATAAATACATATAGGATGTGAAAAAAATGAATTTAGACAATGCTAGAAAATTTTAGATTAAAATAATGTATACAATTCTAGAAAATTTTACATTAAAAAAATGAATTTATCCAATGCTAGATAATTTTGGATTAAAGAAAAATGAATTTATACAATGCTAGAAAACGTTGGATTAAAAAAATGTGTACAATTCTAGTAAATTTTACATAAAAAAAATGAATTTATACAATGCAACAAAATTTTAGATTCACAAAATGAATTTATACAATGCTAGAAAATTTTAGTTAAAAAAAAAATTATACAATGCTAGAAAATTTAAAAAAAATGAATTTATACAATGCTAGAAAATTTTAGATTAAAAAAAAATTATTCAATTCTAGAAAATTTTAGACTAAAAAAATGAATTTATACAATGCTAGAAATGCTAGAAAATTTTAGATTAAAAAAATGAATTTATAGAATGCAAGAAAATTTTAGATTAAAAAAATGAATTTATGCAACGCTAGAAAATTTTAGATTAAAAAAATGAATTTATACAATGCTAGAAAATTTTAGAATAAAAGAAAGAAGTAAAATGAATTTATACAAAGCCAGAAAATTTTAGATTAAAAAAATTAGTTTATACAATGCTGGAAAATTTTAGAATAAAAAAAAGAAAGAAGTAAAATGAATTTATACAAAACCAGAAAATTTTAGATTAAAAAAATTAGTTTATACAATGCTAGAAAATTTTAGATTAAAAAAATGAATATAAAATGCGAGAAAATTTTAGATTAAAAAAATGTATACAATGATAGAAAACTTTAGAATTAAAAATTAATTTATTCAATGCTATAAAATTTTAGATTTAAAAAAATTATCAATTCTAGAAAATTTTAGATTAAAAAAATGAATTTATACAATGCTAGAAAATTATAAATAAAAAAAAATGAATTTATGCAATGCTAGAAAATTTTAGATTAAAAAAATGAATTTATACAATGCTAGAAACGCTAGAAAATTTTAGATTAAAAAAATGAATTTATGCAATGCTAGAAAATTTTAGATTAAAAAAATTATATAATGCGAGAAAATTTTAGATTAAAAAATGAATTAATACAATGCTAGAAAATTTTAGATTAAAAAATGAATTAATACAATGCTAGAAAATTTTAGATTAAAAAAATGATTTTATAAAATTCTAGAAAATTTTAGATTCAATCAAAATCTGTACTTACTGAAAGTGCTTGTTTTCCGTGTAGATGTGTCTTTCTTGTCTGTCGTGTTGAGAGTGCCAGTGAGATATTGATGTTTTATGTCTCTTATTGTGTAAATTCATTTATTTTTTTGATCTAAAATTTTCTAACATTTATAAATTCATTTTTTTTCCATCCTACATGTACTTGTAAAATTTAAACGATGTTTATAAATCGCAGGCCCTGAAGATGATCTCAATAAAGATCGAAACGTTGGCACGATAATGAAAATGTTTTTCTAAAACCTACGTCAAACCAGACCGCATCTCACGATCTCAGAATAATAAATTCTATATGCTTAAAATCCTTCAGGTAATTGAAATAGTAAGAAGCTCTTCAAGTCCTTAATAAAAATTAATGTTACGAAATTTTGTTATGTATGTATTACAGTCTTCAAATCTCAATGTCGTTCAAAGGTTATTGTGTCGCAAAAGAACGCGTTTTTTAAGGGACTTAGTAGGAAGATGGCGTGGGTAGTTTATACGAATGGTATTCATTGGGATCCCGACCTTTCGTGTTTCCCGAGATTGGTGGAAACTGCCGAAGCACGTAAATCCTATGATGTCGTTAGTCCCTCCGCCTGTTTGGATTTGACCGATTCCCAAAATTATTCGTACATTTGATCTATTTTTCTTGTTTAACGGATGTGCCTTTCCAATATATGCAAAACAAAACTATCTTCTAATCTATTTACATATACATACGAAAATATAAAATACTTTAGTTTTTTAAGTAGTTTACATAAAGGTTAAATTCTTCATTCACTTACTTTAAAATAAATTAATAAAGTGCTTACAATACCAATAAACAGATAAAGCCCAGAAAAAGTCTATAAATTGACAAGCAAATATATGATAGATTAATATTATAATAAATGCTAATAACTTTTTTAAATCTTAAAATTATAAAGAATTTATGCAGATTGTAAATAACAGTAATAAATATTAATAATATATGGCCATTAATTAAATTAATATCAAGCAATAAATTATTGTTGTGAAATCCTTAGAAATAAAAATGTATCTATTCTTCTCTCTCACTCTCACTCTCACTCTCACTCTCTCTCTCTCTCTGTCACTATCTCTGTCTCTGTCTTCCCCCCCCCTCTCTCTCTCTCTCTCTCTCTCTCTCTCTCTCTCTCTCTCTCTCTCTCTCTCTCTCTGTTTCTTTCGTTCGTATGAGTCTTTCTGTTTTCATTTTAAATACCTATTTACTTATCCACCATAATGCTTTTATCTCTTTCTGTCAGTCACTCCTTCTCTTTCTCTATTTCTCTCTACTAACCTCTCTCACGTGTTCATTCTGTTTCTTTTGTTCATATGAGTTTACCAGTTTTTATTTTTTATACCTATCTATTTATCCACCTAAATTCTCTTCTCTCTTTCTGTCTATATCTGCCAGGCACTCCTTCACTCTCTCTATCTATTTGAATCTTTCTATATATTTATCTATCACTCTTTCTGACAAATATATGTATGATTCGAGTATGTGTGTATAATTAAGACATTGTTAATATCCATTCATATGATCAAATGAAAAATAGCCAAAACTTATGACTATGTAATCTGAAAATGTAATGTGTGTTTTTTAGCAGTTTTTTTTAACTTATCGTTTACACCTTTCAATTAATTAATCTTTTTAGGCGAGGTTCTGGCTGAAATGAAAAAGCTAGTATCACCAGCGGGATTCGAACCGAAGGTCTGGGTTCGAATCCCGCTCGTGACAATAGCTTTTTCATTTCGGCCAGAACCTCGCCTAAAAATATTAATTAATTTAAAGAAGTAATTTGGTCTGTAGACATAATGGATTTAATGTTTACAAATGATTTTGTTACAAATTACAAATGTTGAAATTGATGTATTCGTAATGAGACAACCTAAACAATATTTCTATAACCAATTTAATTTTTTTGTACAAAATTTTTTACACAAAACACAATTGAGATATGTATGTACAAAAAGAAGCGTTTTCCACAATTTTATCGAACTTAGGTCATCAGAGGTCCGATTATAAAATGTTATGCGGATTTGTTTTTAAATTTAATATATGTTTATTTCCCTCAATTTGTTGAATTTTTTAATTAAACATAAATGTACGAATTGTTTTAATTGCAACCTGTGTATTTTCTTCGTGCATTTATGAGTTTTTGATTTGTTTTGTGTACACAGAATTTTTTATTCAGATGAATTTAGTCTTCCCTGATACGCTTGTCACAAAAACAATATTATGGATTTTTTTATAATGAGATCATCGTTCAAAATATCAAATACACACCAAAAATCTTAGACATTGAGTTGAAATTAAAGAGAGGATTTTTTTAATTAAAACGTATAACAATTTTCTATAAATAATTCTGTCTTATCTTTGTTTAATCATTATCAATATAAGTATATTTTGTAACATATAAAAATTAAGAAAGGTCGCTTCAGGTCGCGTTTCGACATTGTGCTGGTAACTTAGCCAGGTTCTCCTACGGACTTATGCTTTGCTTCTGTGATAATATATAATCATAATGATAATCATTTTATCAATGTGCTGGAATAATTTAAAAAAAAAAAATAAATATGGTTTTTCAGTTAAAGACGACGGGGATTTTTGGTCTGCGAGTCGGTGAACACATCTTGAACTGATCACAATTCAGACCAAAAGCAAATCGTGTACTGTCCATCCATCGTGATCGCGTTCTAACAGAATTCAGGGCCATCCTTGACCAGGAGTGCAGATCTGATGGCTACACCTCAAAAAGGAGCACCTTGTAAAATTATTTTTCCACTCGGGGCAAAAAAGTGTAAAAAAAAGGCAGGTGGCCCACCAGCGTTCAAGGACGGCATTGCCACAAGAGTACTTTCACGCTGGGCCTGCTGACGCAATGAACCACACCACTTCTCCCCAAGCCACCTTTTACTCCACATTTCTTCATATTATTTACTGCTGCAATACTTTCTGCCCGTTCCTAACTTCCTACTTTTACCTCTTGCATTCATTTCCAGGCAATGACTTCGGAGAAGGGGGAGTGGAAGACGTTTCGTAAGTCTTGTCTCATCTACTTGGATTTCTTGCCTGGCTCATTCCTTCAAAATCGTACGACCTGGTTGAATATTTTTCAAATATATACATTAATACAAATCAACATCAAATTTATTATTTAAGGAAATAGGTGTTTACAGCACATATCAACTCTATGTGAAAAATTATGTAAACTGCTAAAAAATGAATAGGGATATTGCCAATTTTGTAGTATTTACTTTCTCTACCATTTTATTTTATTTTATTATAAATTACATTAAAATTTATTAAAAAACTATTGTTTTTTACGGAAGGAAAATTTAATTAAGAGATTTTGACAAATAACATAATAAAATATTTTAATTCTATAATTTTGTTTATCGGACATATTAATTTTTTTAAATAATTACCTCCGTTAGCTAAAACCTCTGTGCACGTGTTAGGCATAAGAAGGTTGTCACTAATTTTATAAGGAATTTTACTTCATAAATGTTGCAACGCTGCAACGTTGTTGCAGGTCAACTGCGGATGGTGATCGGAAAGCCTTTTCTGCAACGCATCCCACATGTGCTCAATGGGATTGAGGTCTGGAGACGATGGAGGAAGGGGGCAGATAGGAAATTTCCAGGTTTTCTAAACATTGATTAACAACTCTTCCTCTGTGAGGTCTGGCAATGGCACCCAGAAATAGAAAATCCCTGCCAATGAGATCCCTGGTTTGAGGGCTGACTTTCTCGATAATTTCTTGAACATAACGGACTGCGATTAGGTTGACTTGAGCAATATGGAGTTCAGTTCGTCCTCCGGTGTAAAGTACAGCGCAGACCATTACACCGCCTCGTCCAAACTGCACTGAAGGGTGCACAAACTGGGACATTACGCATCCCCTGTTCTCGGTAGACGTTCGGCGTCTGCTCCACTACTATATATAGACAGAAACGCGACTCAACAGTAAACATAACAGCATTGCAATTGGTGTTCTCTTCTAGGCCGTCGTTGCACCATTTTCTCCTGAGTTGCTGGTAGCGGGCGGTTGCTGCAGGTAGTCTCAAAGGCGCATACGTTGTGAGGCCATACGAATCTTTTGTGTTGATAAAGGTCTTGACAAAATTCTTGTATTTCATTTATGATCTGGGCGGGCACTGTGGAAAGGGTTATATAGCGGAGTTACTGGCCATCTTGAAAGCAATGGACTGGTTGGCACAGTGCGCTTCTTTTTCAGCGTGTGAAGTAGTAAGTCCAATAATTGTGAGGACAGATTCGCAGGTGGCGTTGGACTCAAATAAGGATCAATGAAACCACTTGGGCCAAGTCGAGCGCATTCGTCGTGAGACCATCCTGACACAGTTTTGAAATAGACGCGTTGTGGGCGAAGAGAGAGCCGACAACCTGACCGAACAAGCGACCGAAGATTCCATATTGCCGAAATCCTTCCTGAGGACTATTTGGAGAGATGGGAGCTACTGTCTGCTGAGGGTCAGTACAAAAAGGCGTTTTTTCCCACCATCTCTAGGTTAAGAAGCCGCGTCGACCTAACCTGTAAAATAACGCAAGCTCTCTCGGGCCATGGAAGGACTAGAGGGTCCTTCATCAGGAAGGTTCAGAATGCCTGTGTAATGGGGCAACATGCCAGACGTGGGACCATATATTGTTCACCTGCGAAATGTTTGAAAAAGAGAGAGCATCTTTTCTTAGAAAATTGTGCTTGAAAAGCTCCCCTGGCCACCAGAGAAAAGCTGCACCGTGCCGAATAGCAACATGAGTAAAAACTTGTTTTTTTTTGTTCTTTTTTTTTAAAGTCGATAGATTTTGATAAACTGTAATGCTTATTACTGAAGCAATATTTCTTTTTCATTTATCTGTGTGTTTAGGATAGGTGCGAATTTATGCTACTATTTTGTTACATTATCATAATGCACGCATGAAGACCATGTAATATGTAAAGTGGTGTATGCTGTAAATAAATTGTGATAAAAAACCCACACACATAAGATAAATCGCGAATGACAAAAAAAATCACATACATTCAAATAAAGTGACAGCCACACACACACAAAGTTATATAATATATATGTACAATAATAATAATTATTCAGAAATCGTGAGATGCGGTCTGGTGTGATGTAGGTTTCAGAAAAACATTTTCTTTATCATGCCCGCGTTTCGTTCTTTATTGAGATCATCTTCAGGGCTCAATGTGTTTGTCTTCTGTGTAATTGTGCCATTCTTGCGTGTCGTGTTGAGAGTGCCCTCATGCAAGAAAGGCACAATTACACAGAAGACAAACACTTTGAGCCCTGAAGATGATCTCAATAAAGATCGAAACGTTGGCACGATAAAGAAAATGTTTTTCCGAAATCTACATCACACCGACCGCATCTCACGATTTCTGAATAATTATCGATTAACGGTCACTAATCACCACACAATAATAATAATCTAGTCATAAAGGTAATTATTTTTTTATTTTGTTCTACATGTTTACTATATAGTGTATATAAAAAATGCAATATTTCCAAATTATAAGATGTCAGTAGCAGTAAAATACAAACAGTAAAGGTTTTAAATAGCAAATCTGATTTATTTTGGCTCATCTCAAAGTGTTTTGTAAGTTGTTGTCACATATGTAAATTGCTACAGGATCGTATATTTTCAACAGAAAGAAGTCAAAATTATTGAACATTTCTCAACTGTCCATTTCTTATTTACAACTGTGAGCTCATTTCACGAAAAAAATTATATTTGTATTATATGGGAGAACCTGTTTTGATAACATTTCAGACAACATGGATCTTCGTTCCTTTTTTTGTACACAAAATAAAAATACAAACTGCCATATCATAAAATAAATATGATAATGTAAGAAATTACACGGAAATAAATATTTTATTAAAAATAATTTTTTTATGCATATATCATTTGTTTATTGGATATTTGAACATTTATTTTCAATACAATACATCGCAGAGAAAATATAATAGACTAATACGATATATTGAACAGGTTTGGTTGTAAGTTTGTTTTTTGGACGATTATTTCAACCTAATAAGTAGGCACCCAGGGATCCTTTGTAAATTTAAACGTTTTCTACCCACTCTAATGTTAGTACTTTGTACTGTTATCCTACTTGACTGACTTATTCGGGGTGAGATGCAGAACCGAATACTCAGATATCAGACCGACACAAGCCTGCGTCACCCAAACGAGCATTCTTGGTCCTATTCTGTATTCCATTTATACTGTACTGCTGCCCATAAATCCCAACACCTAACATGAGTGCTTTCCAAGCTACATCCAGCAACCAAGAACACCTTTAGTTTATGAAAAACGGGTACAAAAATGAAGGTCAAGATTGGATAATTATACAGTGTACTTGTTCTCCATTGTACATCAGCAAAAAGAAGCTTCGGACTTCCCCTCAAGTCAGACTCTCAGGATTTTTTCTAGACAGAAACTGACGTGGAATCCCCGTATAAACTTAAGAGTCAACCACTTAACCGAAGACTTTTAGGTCCGATGTATATTTTCACCTTCAAAGCTTAACTAACCCAATACAGGACAATACAAGACTGGACATACTGGGGGATTGCCCCAAGTCATCCAATGCCCAGTTCCAATCTAAAGTCTTTAGTCAAATTGCCACTAGTCCTTTCTACGTCACTAACGTCACTATCCACAACGACACCAACATCCCTTTTATCAACAAGATATACAAATGGTTCACTTATCAAAGGTAAAGGAAGCGGTGCTGGAATCGATATACCTAAACTAGGTATCAGCATCTCCTCCCCTATTGGCAATAACACCTCCGTTTTTCAGGCGGAAATCTGGCCCATTAATGTCTGTTGTAGAACACTAATGGAAAAAAAATCAAGGGAAAAGATATTAGAATTTTTTCCGACAGTCAAGCTTAGGTCATTACAAAAAGATTTGTCAACATCTAGACTGGTGGAGGAAACTGTAGATCTTATCAATAGAATCACTTCTAGGTATGAGAATAGGGTAACCCTTATTTGGATACCAGCATATAAAGGACACGATGGCAATGAAGAGGCGGATTGCCTGGCCAAAGAAGTCTCTAATACTGCGTTTGTCGGGCCACAACCGGTATTACCTCACTCTATAAGCACAAGAGAGTAACAAAAACTGGGGTATGAAACAATTCCTTAAGGAATGGAATCTGTACCCCGGGCACAGGCAATCGAAGGAGTTTGTTAAGGAGATTAAACCAGCAGAATCGAAATGGCTATTCTCTAACTCAAGGAAGGGAATTAGGAGGCTGATAGGTATCCTGACGGGCCATTGCCAACTGAGAAGACACCTCTTCGTAATGGGTATTCTACCTGAATCCTTTTGCTGCTTTTGTGAAATAAAAGAAGAAACGGGAAGGCACTACTTCGCAGAGTGTGATAGGTACGCTAGGTCTAGATTCGAAACTTTTGAAGGAGAGAACATCACCAAATCACTACCCGAGATAAAATGGTCCAAAATCTTGGGGTTTGTGAACAAGTCCAAGAGGTTTACGCAGGACACGTGAGCCGACCAAGTCCCGGACCTTTTAGGGTTGGGGTACGAGTTTACCCAGGCATTTAACCCCTCGGGTCTTGGTCGCTCACCCTGCATAATATATATATATATATATATATATTTATCAACAAACTTTTCCGATCCTGCATCCGAAGGTTCTACACCAAGCTTTCGATCCATCCTAACCCATGCCCAAGCATTATCTACACTTTTACAACTTGAGAACCCACCACGCTGCTTTAAATGATGAGGGCCTCGAGACCTCCATATTTTGTAATCCCTCATATGGAGTGCTTCCGGGTTGATCTAGCCTTTTGTGTCGACGGGAAAAAACCATATACGCAAAGATTTGTAAAATATATTTTTATATGTACAGGATTCTCTATCATACTTATTTTTCTACGATCTCACTTTTAATTGCATGATTTTATAGTTAACAGTTAGTTCCTTAAGTTCGTTTCATTGTGTTTTGGTGTATATTTATAGAATAATTTTAGAAAGGTACGAATTTATATGACTTGCGCAAAAACTTTCTAATAGTATACTTTGTTTTTAAACTCTTATTTTCCATTGGTTTAGTAATGATTTTCTATTAAATCAGACATAAGAACAATTTGAAAAAGTCAAAAAAAGAAAAACTCAGTTTCCCCATCAAGCTTTCTAGGAATATAACAT